CCAGCTAGTCATCACCGCCCGCCGCCCACTCTTGGGCTCCTCTTTTCCCAACGAATAGTGGGATTGACCGTCACATTATAACGCCCCCACGGCTAAAAGGGCGAGGATGTTTGGTTGGAGGGGGATTCGAACCTGCGATAAAAAATGAAACCAAAAAGTGTCTAATCGTATTGGACCAAGGTACAATCCTACCAAATATCAAGTCAATCTGCCGAGAAATAAAAGAATGGTGTTCGATAGAAAAGTATTTGAAAAAAAAAAACAACTATAGAAAGACAGTAGGTCTCTCTGAGGAGACATAAAAACATTCTGGAACTTTCTATAACTAGATATACTGTAAGATTTCATTTACTTTGTTCACCGGCAAATAAGAAAAGTTATGTTGTCGTAAAATTCAATCAATAATTGATATGCTTGACTGAAACATGCACGTCTGAAACTTAAGTTGACGTTTAATGTTTTTTCGTAGTTCAGAATGATATCTACAAACTATATATTTATCATATATAATCATACTAAAAAGTCACATCAAAGTGAATTATCATTGGTTATTAGTTAAAAAAAAAACGCAAACAGTTCATATTGAAGTTAAGAAATCAATGTGAACTTCTGTGCATGCATATTTGCTTTCGTATTTACAGGTACAACATTGCTTTCTTTCTCTTAACCTACGGTCTTCCAATCACATTAATGGCCGCTGCCTACATCTCGATGTCTAGAGTTCTTTGGCGTCAATCTCTTGATGGTGAGTCAACGCAAGTTCAATCAGAAGCCATCAAGTCGAAACGAAGAGTAAGAATATATTTTTGTAGCTTTTTAATTCTGATTTTATATTGTTTTATTAATTAGTTTTGTTTGTTTGTAGTTAACTACAAAGTTACACAATGGGCTATCTGTGCTTTGCCCACCACGGGTATCGAAACCCGGATTCTAACGTTGTAAGATCTGCAGACATATCGCTGTGCTACTGGGGGCTTATTGATTAATATCAATATCTGCCGATCTTTAGGCTAAACTCTATTAACAAATCGGTGAGAATATAACTAATACCATTTTATATAAATAAATATAAGTAGATTAGGAATCAATCAACCGAAGTTTTTGTTCTGTTTGCAAATGGATATTTAAAATAAATTTATTCACCTCCTAAAGCAAATCCATAAAACACCAGGATATGAAACCGGAGCTTACATGTCACCATTCCTAGTTTGAGAGTGTTTGCAGAAACATCACGACTCAGGAATATCAAATATTAGAAGCTATAGAATCGTTATATCTATCCTAATAGTGGACAACATGGCTCTACCAGATCGTTGCGTTCCACCACGTGTTTCTAACCACATTTTTTAACCGATATTTTTCCCAGCTGATCCGGTGTATCTGGTGGGTGAGGTAGGCGTGAAGCTTGTCATTGATGCTGTAATTGTATAGATGTATTCTATAGGTTTGATGTCTGGAGATAATAACGGCCAGTTCTTTATCGCATTAGTTTCAGGTTAGGCATGAAATTTGGAAACGAGAATTATCCTCCATGAAAATTAAGTCAATTTTAATGCTACCAGGAAAAGGCCCGACAATAGTTGCTAGGATCTCGTTAATGTAATTCGGCATTCAGAGTGTCATTCCTGATGGTAAAATAATTAGCACGCCAAGTATAGTAACTAACTCTGGCCATCCAAACTTATTATATTCATCGAATATACAGTCAGAGTAAGATGTTCACACGAAACGACAGTAATCATGGAAGTCCATAAAGAATATGGACTTGTTCATTAAGATAAGTGGGCATCATTGATGTTGGAAGTCAATACAGAATATAGACTTGTTCATTAAGATAAGCGGGCACCGTTGATTTGGAACTCACTGTAGAACGTGGACCTGTTCATTAAGATACGCGGGTACCATAGATGTTGAAAGTCAATATAGAACATGGACTTTTTCATTAAGATAAGTGGACACCAGTGGTGTTGGAAGCTAATATAGAACATGGAATTAGTTTTTTTTTAAATAAACGGGCACTAGGGATGTCTGCTGTTTGAGATAATCCTAGTATTATTATATGTGAGCTTGTCTTGATTGTATGTTAGGGTGATATGCTCTCAGATCACCTAAGTGCAACATGTTTCTTATCGTTTACGAAGCGGCTAGAATTTTGGCAGCATGCTGGATGTATTTACTGAGTCTTACATTGTCGACAAAGTGATGTCGCCAAGGCCAATTAACAACATATTGGCACTTCTTTGCATTGAGTGTGTTCTTAAACATATTTTTATCAGTGGGTTGTCTGTTACCTTGCCCACAATCTTTTGTGACATTTCAAAGTTGGTAGCAACGCATATTT